ACCTCTCTTCTAAAGGCTTGAAAGATGCTTAATCTAAAAAAAAAAAAGAAAAAACAACAACAACACACGATAATGCAACGAATTATTAGTGTCTCTGTTTTTTGTTTTTTACAATTCTTGAGATTCAGTTATTTTTTATAACTGTCGTAAACCTGTTCGTGATGCCAGTTTGTAAGGAAAGATCAGTTTAGTCTTTATCTTAAAACATAATTAATGGTTTGATCCCTTCAACGTGTACAGCGCAGATAGCTTATTGTGCAACTTTGCAATTAAACAATCAAACTTAGAAACTCTTTATTAATGATAAAGAAAGATAAACGCATATTTTAAGCTGTAATCACTTCGTATGAAATTGTTTAGGGTTTGTTTGTTTGCTTGTTTTAGAACAAAGCCACATTGGGCTATCTGCTGTGTCCACCGCGCGGACTCGAACTCTGCATTTTAGCGTTGTAACTCCGTAAGCCCACCGCTTTCCCAACGTGGGACAACTGTTTAGGGACAATTTGGGATTCTTTGTTGGACCTTTTTCGCTCTGGAATCTTTACCCTTTTTTTGATTGTATAAATCGTGCGAACAAACTTGTAGGCAGATAATGTTTGCTGAACAAACGTTTTCATTATTTGTTTAGCGAATGTAAACTTCAACAAATAATGTAAATTTTCCGCATGAAACGTTGTAGTGTATATATATATTTATGGCTTCAGGCCACGTCCGTTAAATATTCTAACCTTTTACTTTCTCACGTTCTGACAAAGAAACGTATATTATTGGGTTTGGAATAAAAGGCTAAGTGCTCATTAGTCTTCAATTTTTTTATTTTTCTTGTGAACTTTCATTAAAAATATATTTCAAATTTCAAAGTTAAATTAAGAACAGTAGATCGACTGTTAGAATCTCGCCCATTTCGAGATAGTAGTGCCACCTATCAACAGACATGAAAGTCGCGGAGCAATTGGAAGGTTTGGAGGATGGTATTATATATTATTATTCAAAACTAGCAAGGATAGGTAAGAAGTTAATCAATATTCTTGAACCTTCATTACACACTATTACTCTAAAGATAAGTACAGATTACTCTAATGATAAGTAATATTTAATCAATATTCTAGAACTTTGATTACACAGTATTACTCTAAAGATAAGTACAGATTACTCTAAAGATAAGTAACTTATTTTAGAGTAATCTTTACTTATCTTTAGAGTAACCTGTACTTATCTTTAGAGTAATCTGTACTTACCTTTAGAGTAATAGTGGGTAATCAAAGTTCTAGAATATTGATTAAATATTACTTGTCTTTAGAGTAATCTGTACTTATCTTTAGAGTAATCTGTACTTACCTTTAGAGTAATAGTGGGTAATCAAAGTTCTAGAATATTGATGAAATATTACTTGTCTTTAGAGTAATCTGTACTTATCTTTAGAGTAATAGTGTGTAATCAAAGTTCTAGAATATTGGTTAAATATTACTTATCTTTAGAGTAACCTGTAATTATCTTTAGAGTAATACTGTGTAATCAAAGTTCTAGAATATTGATTAAATATAATAATTAACCAATATTCTAGAACTTTGATTACACAGTATTACTCTAAAAATAAGTAATATTTAATCAATATTCTAAAACTTTGATTACACACTATTACTCTAAAAGTAAGTACAGATTACTCTAAAGATAAGTACAGATTATTCTAAATATAAGTAAAGATTACTCTAGGATAAGTAATAATTAATCAATATTAAGAACTTCGATTATACACTATTATTTAAAAGTAGCAAGGACACATAATAAGCTAATCTCATTCTCAGACCATTCCTCTGAAGAAGAAAGATCCACCTTTCGAAAGCGCTCGGGTTATATGTTTTTTTTATTCATTTCTAATAAGCTGAGTATAAGGCCTGAGTATCTCAAGATTCTAGGTAAATGGGTAACCGAAGTTAATAAATCGTTTATTGAATTCTGATTTACAATATTAGGGTCGTTTACTTGAAATGGGGCTAACGTTATCCGTTACAACCTTAATAAATTGTGTGTACATTAATCCGCACAACTTAATAAACTATTAAGTTCTATTTACCGTATCAGAACAACGCCATACTTGTGTAAGTTTCTTACCTATTTTTTTTATATTATTTATTTATTCGAACAAAGTTTAGGATTAGAATATTGCTAAACAAACGTTTTCATTATTTGTGATGGCGTCACAGAAGCGTAGGTTCGAAACATCAATAAATTTATGACGTTTTTAATATTGTCTTCTATGAACGTAAAGGGATTTTTGTGAAACTTATGACGTCATTAGTCACGTGATAGTAACGAGCTTGAGTTGCAACAAGTAGTTATGGTGATTGTAGGAAGCAATAAATTACGCTGTTTGTTACGTAAGCATTTGATTTGCTTCATGGTATACTGCTCACCTAAGTAAGACCGAGTTTTGTTACAACTCCAATAGAACAAGATAGGGAGTTCGATTTCTTATTACAAACTCAAGATGATTAGTAAAACCATGTTCTTGGAAATATGGCCTCCGGTGTCTAGGGCAAAATCTTATTGCTAACATAAGTGAAGGAATTCTGATCAAAAGTAGTCTAACTATCTAGATTAGAACTAAAACTCCATAAAAATCAACTCGTAAGTTAATGGGGGGGAAAAAACCTGTATAGTAATCTAGATTAATTAGAAAATGAAAACATATAACAACTAGAATCATTCTATCATCATCAGTTGGGTACCCTTGCTGCTAACGGCATTTTCGGTCATAATCCCAACAATACCTCGCCGACCGGAATCATCCAGGCTAAAAGGCTTGGGTTAGCAGTATATGTATGTATGTAAATATATTGAAACCTTATAGGTAAGTTTGTTTTCGTCATTGTAAACAAGTTTTTCAGAAACACCTTAACTGAAAAAAAAGCGGATGAAATTTGCATGACGCCAAAAGATGGCATTAATGCGCTGTTAGTGTCAAATTCTATAATGTTTTGTTTTGTTTAGCGCAAATTTATACTGGGGTCGGGGGTTCGTGGGAGCGTTATAATGTGACGGTTAATCTTACTTTTCGCTGGAAAAGGAGTAGCCCAACAGTTGGCGACGGGTGGTGTTGAATTGCTGCCCCCTCCAAAAAAAAAGAAAAAAAAGAGCATGTTTAATTAGCTATATCGATTGCCAGATTTCTCTCTAAGTACATAGCTTGCTCTAATCGGAAGTTATTAGTAATAACTTTATAAGCTTCAAAATGAATATATTTTAAACAGTCTATGACAGTATTATTGTTATTATTAATTATAAGACTCCATGAGTGAAAGTAAATGAGAATATACTATAATATGTCAATCGTACTACATCTGACAGATCTCGTACCGACGAGGCCTTTCGGTCAATACCAGGGCTCATCAGGCCGGCTGGAATACAAAAGATATAGTAGTGATCTATGCACTAATATATATCATAATTTTTCATCAACAACTATTGTTATGGTGTAAACCATATTAAGCACATGAATTATAATTATTATTAAATTTATTTAAGTAATTTATTAATTGAAATTTTTACATTAGAATATACTACACAACATGTTAAATATATTTATTAATTTTTAACATACATTATTTATTTATATTAATTATTTTTCTAATTAACTTTGTTATCAGTCACAAAGTTAAGTACTTGACTCTGGTTGCTGCGTGTAGCTGCAAAGCCTTGACAGCAGAAAGTTTTAGGAACATCTTAATTGATTTATAACCAAGCTTTTGTTTTCATATTCCGGAGTTCTTGTTAACGGAACAGAGAATTATGGGTACAAGTTTGTAAACAAACGTCGTAATACAGGTGGGGTATCAATCCTGTTAAAGTTGAGCACCTATCGGAAGAAAATGGAAATAACTTGTATCACTGGTTTTTCCTGTCAATGTTTCGACAACGTATGTTGTTAATTTCCCCAAAAGGGGGCCGCCTGGAGCGGTCACCTGTTTTAACCACTCGCACAACTATATAGCAGTGTGTTGTCTGTCAGTTAGTCAGTCAGTAGACACTAAAATGACGTCACGTAAGGGACACTTGACGTAACATCAGTAAAACGTGTTCATTGTATAGGCTAAAGCATGACACACGAGCTTCAAAAACAAGAAATAAAAATATTTGTTACTCTTAATTATAGTTTTACTTACTCTTGAAAAACAGAATACTTTCGGGGACCCTGCGGAAGTACATCTAGTTTTAGTACGGGGACCATGCGGAAGTACATCTAGTTTTAGTACGGGTACCCTGCGGAAGTACATCTAGTTTTAGTATAATCTCCAAGTTTTGCTTCGACTGTTTTTTTTTTTGTTTTTTTAAGACCTCAAGTAATATATCTGATGATGATGACACCAGTTTATCCGTTCCTTTTAATACAGCATTTTAGAAAAGTCACATACTCGTTGGTCATGAAATGATATTGTACATACCTGATTCTATGGATAGTCTAATAATAAATTCAGTTTTCGTGTTTGTCGTGTGGATCGCTGAAAATACACCCGTGTTAGTGAATTTGGCCGAACGAGTCTGTAGAATTATGTTTGAATGTAGTACAGCTGTAATAAACAGTATTAGAAACCAGCATATATATATTCGAGGTTTGAAAGCCGGTTTTCTTTGTTGTTTGTGTTTTTCTTATTGTTGAATTTCACGCACAACTACAAGAGGGTTACCCGCCCTAGCTATTTCTAACAAAGAAGGAATAGACCAGATGGAAGGCAACTGGTCAACACCACCCACCGCCAACTCTTGGGCTACTCTTTAGTGGAATTGACTCCAATATTATAACGCCCACACGGCTAAAAGGACGAGTATGTTCGATAGTGGGATTCGAACCTGCGACCGATAGATTGCGAGTCGAACGCCCTAACCGCCAGGCGTTATTTGAAGAGCTCATTCTTAATTTCTAATGTAATCATAACGCTTTAATGTGGTATAATTGAAAATATCATCACACGAACTGTGTAACCTGGTTAAGCTGTCACAAAAAACAAAAAAAAAATTGTAAATTTTTTTGATGACCAAAAGAATCGAAATCCGTTCATAAGTTTTGAATCATCTCTAGTTGATGATTTCTGTTTGTTTGTTTGAAGTTAAGCACAAAGCTACACAATGGGCTATCTGTGCTCTGCCCACCGCGGGTATCAAAACACGGATTCTAGCATTGTAAGTCCACAGAGATACCGCTGTGCCACTGGGGAGCTGGGATTTGTTTGTTTGAAGTTAATCACAAAGTTACACAATGGGCTATCTGTGCTCTGCCCACCACGGGTATCAAAACCCGGATTCTAGCATTGTAAATCCTCAGACATACCACTGGAGGTGCTGATGATTTCCAATGGACAAATATCTATTAGTTTTTTTCATGTCTGATTATTTTTCCTGAGAAAAATAGGCATTAGTTTCAAATTTGATGACTAGAAACCCACATTAAGATAAAGTTTGAAGACGGCTTGAATGAATAATAATAAAAATATTTATATAAATATTACAAGTTGAACATAGTAACCAGACGATGACAAAAACCTTATCGAAACGTTGTACACTTCTTACTGTGTTAAACTGGTATATAATAAAGTTTCTTCATTACCTATTCAAGCTGTCTTCAAACCTTACAGTTATTGGTTCAGTCGCTTTCTCCCTCAAAGCAGTGAAATTTTATGTACTGTGTAAAGTAAATTTAGCTAAAGTATCTCTAGTAAGTTTCAAAATTATATAATAGTATATTACCCCCTCCCCCCCAGCGTGTCATATACAAATATATACAAAAGTAAATATGTATTAACCAAAACAGAAGTAAACCTCAACGAGTCAGAAAGAGTTTTTCAAATGTTTGTTTGAAGTTAAGCACAAAGTTACACAATGGGCTATCTGTGCTCTGCCCACCACGGGTATCGAAACCCTATTCTAGCTGTGCCATTGAGGGGAGAGCATATAATATTAGTGATATACGTATTAGTTTTCCTAAGGTTTTAGTTTTTTTTTTCAAATTGTCAAAAGATCTTGGATATGCACACTTAGTCAGAACAAGGGTACAGAGGAAAAAAGCACAAACTGTGCTACTGTACGTTTGGAAAAACCCGGGCAGAACTAAATTTGTTACCTGTTACAGGAAGGTGTTTTTCGGCTTTATTTATTTACTAATAGTTTCATTATTTAAAGACACGGATTCTATTTATTGGAGTTCCGCTTTCTATTCCATATTGATAAAACCGGATATCCTGTCTGTTGAAAGCTCGTAACGGTGAAGCGAGAGGGGGGGGGGGGTAGAGAGACGGGAAGGAATTTAAAAATTGAAGAGGGAAGTAATACGAAATTATTAAACTCTCAATCGTCATTACATTCTTTGGTTTATCATGGGAAGTGCACTGGAGAAAATGTATGTACTATGTACACGAAAAACTCAATTCTAGCGGCAAAACTAAATAGATTAAAGTAAGTGACATTAGCAATTAACATTCTGTTACTAGTTTGGTTCGAAGTCTCGGAATTATGCGGTCTACCAACATCTGACCTATTGAAAGGTTTGAATGTAACGATGTAATTGTAATATCTATGATTTCATTTACGTCATTTCCTTTTTGCCTCATTACACTCGAATCAGTGACTAGTTTCCGGTTCAGTGTTTCATCCAATAACCACACAGTTCTTTACTCATAGAACCCGCTTTAGTACGGGAAGGATGTTATAAATTGCTGTTTTCTAGGGTTATGTAGGTTTTTTTTTATATATATTGATTAAATCGTGATTTACGGAAAGTTCGTTAGAGACTTGGAGTGGTGTGCTGAATAATTGCAGTTGTAAAAGGAACATCTTCTCTTACGGCAATCTGTAAAAGTATGTGAATTCGTAAATTTCGTTATAGAATTAGAGCCAGAATTTAAAAGGAAATTAATGAGATGTAGAGCTTAAAATGATATTAATGAGATGTAGAGCTTAAAATGATATTAATGAGCTGTAGAGCTTAAAATGATATTAATGAGATGTAGAGCTTAAAATGAAATTAATGAGATGTAGAGCTTAAAATGAAATTAATTAGATGTAGAGCTTAAAATGAAATTAATTAGATGTAGAGCTTAAAGGGAAATTAATGAGATGTAGAGCTTAAAATGAAATTAATTAGATGTAGAGCTTTTGGTTCTTAGCAGAGAAGTCGCTTCTTTATATATTATCATTTCTGGTGTTCAGTCTTATCAAAACTTGTAGTATTACGTGGTTACTTCTTTTAACTGATTACATTTTTAATCTTTCATACAGGAATGGAAACCAACGTTACACTTTGGCAGTTCTTGTTGGAGTTGTTGCTTAGTAACCGTTACAACCACATCATCACATGGATGAACAACGATGGCGAATTCAAGCTGGTGAATGCTGAAGAAGTGGCTCGTCTTTGGGGACTAAGGAAGAACAAGAACAACATGAACTACGACAAACTTAGTCGGGCTCTTAGGTATTATTACGACAAGAACATCATTAAAAAGGTTTTGGGACAAAAATTCGTGTACCGTTTCGTATCGTTTCCGGAAATTGTAAAAACAGAAAACAAAATACCGTTCCACGTGAAAATGGAAAGTATCAACAAGACTAAAGGCATCATTTTTCACAACACTTCTTCCAAAGCAGCTTCAACCCTTCCTAATACTTATCACAATAAGAATGAAAAGGTGTATCAGACAGCTCCTCTAGATCTCAGAGAAGACATTGAAAGAAGGGTCCCAGTTTCACGCGAAACTGAAAATGTCACTGCTAGCCTCTGTAATAGGAATATGTCAGTTTTGTGTGCTTCGGAAACAGGCGAACGTGAAGAGAAAAGACGATTGGACAACGATAATCCAGAGAAAAGACGATTGGACAACGATGATCCTACGGGTCATTCAGCGAGAAATTATTCTGTCAGCTCCAAATCCAATTCGTCTTCTCTTTCTCCTGCAAAGAAACAAAAAACCGAAGCTCATCGCGACTCAAGTTCTTCTCCTGCTCTTTCTTCATCGAGTTCTACATCGTCTTCAGTTGAGGAGAGTGTCGTCTTATTAAAAAAATCAAAACTGAAACTTTCGCCGATTTTCCCCATCCCTACCAGCCCTAGGCCGATGTCAGGCGGGTTTTCTGCACTTCAGACTCCAGTTGTAACTTTAGCCAGCCCATTTTTCTCTGACATCAAAACACCGATCATGCCATTACCATTCTGGGCTCCTATAAGTCCTCTATCGCTATCCAGTCCTCATTACTCCAGTGGAACGCCGGCTCATTTCCAGTTTCCTCCTCCTCATTCCAGCTTTGGTATCGCTGCCTTTCCATCACTGAGTCCATTCGTTGCACACCCGAATCCACTGTTTGATCCCAAACTACTTTTTTCCCCGACTAAATCTATATCTGTTTTACAATGACCAGTTATTTTAATTAAACTGCGGGCCGGGAACTCTTCGTGAAACAACAAATTTTAGTGGGATAGCTATTGTAAGTGAAACGCAGTAACCGACATAGCAGTAAACGACATAACCTAGTCTCCCTTCCTCTTATAGCACAAAGTAATAATCGGGTAAAATGTGTGAAATATATAAGCTTCTCTTTTGGACAAAGTTACCCCAATTATCAATACTGTGATTACGTTTCAGTGTGCCTTTATGATGCACTGGTACTGAACAAATGTGATACAGTTTCTATCCGGAACGCTACAGCGATACGAGTTGTATGTTTAAACTGTATGTCTGTAGCCTTACTTTGTAGTTTATAGTAAAGAATATATTCTAAGGTTGTTGCTTTTCAGACACACAGAATGAGCATTAAAGAGTGTAGGTTTGTTTTTACTCTACTATTTATGTTTCCAGAACGAAAGCTAGGTTGACTCTAGCTGAATACATTATATATATTCTTATCAAAGGAAGTAAACGTATGTCTAAAATACTTTACATGCTTATAACTGTGTACATTTGGACAAAGGCACGAATTTGTGCCAGCCTTATATTTTAAGTGTTTTATACCTTTATATGCTCATTCTGAACTATAAGACGCAAACTTGATTAAATATGTAATGGCATATATATATAGGTGACTAGATTTTGTAATATGAACGGATTTTTAAGAATATATGACGTTTCGTTTCGTATGTAATATTACGTTTTGTATATATATATAGATAAAATGGCTTTTTGTATATTGAAGGTATATATAAATATAGAGCGAGACAGAGGGAATAGGGAAGATTTTAGAAGACCCGGAGTTCATTGGTTAATTGTATAAAATTGTTATTTTAAACTGTAGCTGAAGTGTATGTGATAATGGATGAAATATACCCGATAATACCATTCTTTATAATTAAGCGGAACCATTTATAGAGAATTTCTCTATTTTTTTATTACTATTTATTTACGTGTCGCTTACCACGTAAACAAGACACGTTTTCACGTTAGACGTTGTTTGTTGAACTACTGAGATACACCGAAACGTTGGGCTATAATTCATATTTTGTAGGTTTCTAATTGGATTTTCAAAACATATATCAACATTAGACAAAATATTAGGTCTTTTTTTCAAGAAAATGATAAAATAAAAATCTGTTCAAGCGGGAAAAATTTTTTTTTTCGATTTAACATTGCGAATAAATTGCTTATTCTAAATATAAATTTTAAGCCTATTCATAAACCATTACATACCGAAGTCGTTTCATCATCCCCAACGATTATTAACAAACAGTGAAACAAACAAACAACGCTTTAAAGAAAAACAAAATATGTCGATTTTAGATTCACTAATATTTCTACGTTTCAATGGCAACTCATTTTCAACTTATATTTACAGCTAGTTAAGGGGTAATTAAATTATACTAGCTCTTGATAAGAGCTGGCTGATGCTATTTATTACTTTAGTTTTAAATCACTTGAAGAAATTATGTATTGAGTAGTTTACTTGTCTAACGCTATCTTTCATGATTGAAGAAAATTTCACCTGTACCTTCTATATTAAATATTTTCAAATTATTATGTACACGAATTTAAAGAATAGACGAAAATTTCGTTTTGATTTTTTTAACAAAATAATTAACAAAGGTTGAGTACGTTATATTTAAACGATTTTGGAGGTTCAACACGTCGTTACAATCCATTTCACTACGTCTGTTCATGGTCTTGACAATAGCCTTGCAGCAGGTGAAAATCTACGAACACAAAGGCAATGACAAAAGTCGTCCACGTAGCTCAGACAACAGCACGCATCATAATAAAGAAGGCTTTGGAGAAGCGACACAAGTTATTTGCTCGACATATCAGTTAAGTCGTCATATAACTCAAGCAACTATAAAATGAAACGATTATTCATGTTACTCCATGCCAGTCAAATCGTCAGGGTCTAAAGATTTCTTTGCGTTCGGAATGTTAAAGTGGGGCTGGGAAATCGTCGTCCTCGTACACTAGACGGCATATTGAAAGCAAGCAAGGAACAGTGGTATGCTTTAGACATGACAATCTTACGACGAAACCCTTTGCAGTGGAAACAAATGTGTTCAAATCATATTCATACACTCAGATCGTTAAGGTGTGTTCAAATCGGAAATTTAAAATATCCAAGATTGGGATAATCCATTGTAGTTAATGGATTTAGAAATCAAAGGAATATGGATTAAAACAGGCCACCAGGACCATCCAAAACATACACTCAGATCGTAAAGATGTGTTCAAATCGTATTCATACACTCAGATCGTAAAGCATACACTCAGATCGTCAATATGTGTTCAAATCGTATTCAAATACTCAGATCGTAAATATGTGTTCAAATCATATTCATACACACTGATCGTAAAGATGTGTTCAAATCATATTCATACACTCAGATCGTCAATATGTGTTCAAATCGTATTCATACACTCAGATCGTCAATATGTGTTCAAATCGTATTTATACACTCAGATCGTCAATATATGTTCAAATCATATTCAGACACACTGATCGTAAAGATGTGTTCAAATCATATTCAAATACGATTTGAACACATCTTTACGATCTGAGTGTATGAATACGATTTGAACACATCTTTACGATCTGAGTGTATAAATATTTTGCGTCGGTAAGGACTATTACATACCCTTCTCGAAAGCGAATATTTTTCGGAGGCATCACGCCACCTACAAAACACCAACTGTGTTTATCAGGAGACGCTGATATGCATATTCAAAATCATTTAAATATAACTTACTGAACCCTCTGTGGCAATCTTTAGTCACCTTATAGTTATCTTGTTAGGTTTAATGAAGGTACTGTGTTTTTAATACTCACATGCTTATTTAAAGCCTCTAAGAAAAGACCTCTTCTCAATTCTTCATTACAGATTAGTGACAGTGATACGCGGATACAGAGTACTTGGAACACAGTATTACAGGTTGTTTTATTAATTCATGTATATATATATATATATATATATATATATATAC